TTAAACCACAACACCTTTCACTTCGGTTAAAGGGAAGGTGGTTATCTTTTCTGAAAGATAGAACAGTAAGCAGGAGAAAAAATGAAAGAAAGAGAAAAAAAAAAAAGAACTTTAACATTTAGTTAAAGCCAAAAGCAAGTTTGTTCCTATAAAGCAAATACAATTCTGATAGAACTTTAAAAAAATCTTTTTCTAAGATACATCAAATCTCTTCTTAAAATTCTTTGCTAATAAAAGAAAAGATCTATTCACACCCTAAGGCTTTTGGGTGTTGCAAATCAACTTCTGATTCTCTATATAGTTGACTTCAATGTAATGGACTCATAAACAATCTGAAACAAAATTAATGGTACTATCAAGAAAGCTTCACCGTAACACTCATGCTGTGAACCTACTGTTTACATGAAGTAGCACTATAAATATGCATACCATAATAGGTAGTCTGTCATACAATCCAGCTTCCAGGGCCTGAGTATTTATTTTATGAAGTCCATGAGCCAGCCTCTGCACCAAGGAGTCTTTCTCCAGATAAGTAATGCTCCCACTGCTGTCTAGTGGAACAGTCTCCATTAGTACATTCAGCTTGTCCATAAGTTTTGAAAAGGAGTTCCTGGCTGCACTTACAAGTAAGTGTTCAGAAAGCCAGGGCTTTGGATCTTTAAGAAGCAACAAGAAAAAAGAAACATCAAGTAGGTTATTAGTCTTGTTTTTTTCAGTGGAAAAAAGCAACAACAAATAGCAGCTTTAAAATACTCAATAGGAAATTTCCATTAAAGAGTGGAAGATTGAGCTCACAGGAATATCTCAGAGAGACTTTGGGACACATTCTGTATTTAGCAATGAACAGTCTACTCCTATCAATCTTTGGATGGAAGGATAGGATGGGGTTCTAAAGAATAGGATGTGTTTTTCAAAGAATAACTTTCCAGTTGTTTTTATGTTCTCCTCCAATACTACACTTTCTTAAATCTTTCTTGAGTGTTCTAACTTTTGTAATTCAGAAAACATATAAGATGGATGCAAGCAAATGCAAGCCAGGTCAAGTCTGTCAGATGTGATAGCACATGGTAAATCACTTTATCGCAATATGTACAATGCAAATTTCTGAGGGTTTCCTGACTCCTCTTCCCTTTCCTCTGTAGATGTCTAAATCATTTGCTGTTCAAAATTAGTGAGGCTTGGTACCTTAATGCCATACTATTTATATTCTAAGACAGGAGAATATAATTTACCTTATTCCAAGGCAATTAAAATTTTACAGCTACAATTACTTATTTCCCCACAGGATTTTGGTAATCATCCTTCTCATATAATGGACTTAAGGCCCCAGCACACCCAACATGTCCTGCTTACTGCTAGATTCGTCAGGTCTGTAATTAATAATTGTGTTTAATGTTGATAAATAAAATTGTCAGTGCTCCTTCCACTAATTGGTATTCCAGATAACAGTTAATAGGTTTATTTATGCCTTAATAAAAGTCTTGTAATTTAGTTTTCCCTCTGCTAGGCAGGTCTTAATCTGTCATTACTTGTCTTATGATACTATCAGTGTAAAATGACAAGCATGGAAGAGCTTATTTACATTCAGTAGTACAGCAGACCTCCTGTTGCTGCAGTGAATTAAAATATTTACTTAAGAGTATAAACAGAAAAAAGTAACCATAGCTTTTTTAAGTTAAGAATTTCTCTTTATACATTGCAAGGATAAAAAAGGTTCAAAGCAAGCAAAACATGATTATTGATATTTTTAGGTTAGGCTTCTCATCATAAAGAATTTATCATTTACACATATGAGATTAAATTTATCTGTAAGCAAACAAAAAAAAATGCACATAATAAAGTCAAACATTCTTTTTTCAGAGCCATTCTCCTGCTTGGTTTCGAAATACCACCATTCCAATGATACCAGTGCTTAACTGGAGCACCATTTTTGAGTACATGCTCTCCACAACCCCATCTAGTAGTAAATCTGTCTTTTCTTCACGTCTAAGATAGTACTCTTTCTATTCATCTTTAAAGCTAAAAATCTTATCCAGCATTTTTATCTTGCACTTCAACTAACAAAACATCCTTTGAAATAAAAAAAAATTATTATTCTCATACCCAGAAGAAACTGCTATTGTAATGCTCTGTCTACTTTGGCCACGGTTCCTCTCTTTTCTTTATGTTGGTTGTCTATCACTGATCACACAAAAGATAAGCTACCTTCATCATTTTAACTCTTACCACAGATTATCCTGTCCTACCTGTTTTTCAGTTTCAAAGACCATCTCTTTTCTCCAGTCATGATGCATTCATTAGTTTGAATGTTTAGTTAAATTAACCTAAAATTAAAACTAGAACATTTGTACTGCCTTCCATGTAAGATGACATCAAAACCTTCTACAAAACCCTCCTTTGCTGTGATTTTTGGTAAATATCAAAACAAGGATACTGTCAATGAGATGTTCCTTCATCTTTCCTAGTATTTCCACCTGGTATCTCATTTTACACGAGATTGTTTGCCTGCCAGAAAGCGCAGTATTCTTCCATATGTGCAGTACCTAGGATGGCAGCCCCTTTCCCCATGTCTAGAACCCCCAGTTTAACTGTATTAAAAATAAATTAATAGTTCAGGCAATTGTGTTGTAGCATTTTGAAACAATCATTCCACTTCATAACCAGGATTTCTGTTATTCAGAACAGTTCAGCATCCACAACTTACAGCACTTTCTTGGGATGGGGAATAACTAGCAAATCATCACCTCTGGTTTTTTTTTATGAGGAGCAGTTTGGAATAAATACACAGAAGTATGTTGATGCAAGTTACTGACTGCTTTGAAAGATGAGATGAGAATATAATGCAATTCCACAAGGAACTGTATCTATAATCATTGGGAAGAGAATATATGGTTTAAGTACATACATTTTAAGTACCGGCCCACGAAGGATCAAGGAATTACAATAAAAGCATTAAATGAGGTACATTGTGATGTGTATAAGAAATTATTAACGCAAATACAGGTATATCACAAAGAGCAATTAATTCTTACATTAAAAAAATGAAGAAAAAGACAATGAAAAGTGACAAATTTTACTTCACTGACAGATGAAGAAAGAATTGTTGTTTACTCTGTTTTGGTGAAATAGAACAGTCAGCAGGATGAACTTAGTAGTACTACACAAGACTAAAATTTTCATGCTAAGCTTCAAAGGCTTTGTGTATGTAACAGTTGATGGTATTTGTATTCAAAAAGCTTGACCTTTACTTTCTCTGGTTTATCGCAGTACAGATTCTGTTCAAACAAATCTACAACATCAACCTTACAAAAAACCAAACCAAACCAAATCAAAACAAAAAAACCCAACATTTTAATGAACTTGTATTCAGATTGAAGTTAAGAGATCATTCCAAGACATGCTGGAATGAGAAACAAACTAATGAACAGTGTGAAGGGAAATGATCACGAATGTCAAATCAAAACCACTTTTTTAAAAGTTAGAAGCTCAAGAAATGTGCCTCAAATCACCAGAGTGCACAAGCCCAAAGTTCCAGTGTTATCTGAGGGATCTGGATTTGGTTTCTTTCAACTGCCTCAAATGGTTCCTCAGAACCTAGCCATCTTTAAAAGTAATTTTTAAGACACAGAACCATTCCATATTGTAGGTCCACATAGCACCTTCTTGTGCCTACTCTCTCCTGTGATTTGCAGGAGGGAGTTCCTAATCTGGAACTGCCTTATTTTAAGATCTGAAGAGAGCAGATGCCTCTCAGATTGCCTATTTACATAAAAAAAAAAATTGAAAATCATTTAAGTCAGTTTGAAGGTTTAAATCCTATTTGAAATATGACTTACAGAACATAAAATAATTTCCTAAGTATGCAAGCTTTCTTTCAAATGTATTCCTTCAGAGCCTTTATCACTTTGATACTTCCAGAAATTTCATGTCCAACTTTAAATTATTTATTACTATTTTTGAACCAAAGGTTCTTGGGAGACTTTTGATCTCACAAGCAACAGAATTCCAAGTAATATATGAGCAGTTGGATCTTGAGGTTCTGTGAAAATGACTTAAAATTCAGTTAAGCTATGAAAGACTCACCAGACTGACTGTGGCCATAAAATTCTCAGCATGGCTTTTCCTAATTCTCAAAATCTCTGTTGAGCACAGAGATATCAAGTAAATAGAGTCCACCAGAATTCTCATGTACTTCAATACCAGCAAAATATCATGAGGTTTAGGGTATTCTAACTAGTCACTTCAGCACATCGATGCTGCTGTAAAGTTTCTCTTGATTCCTTTTCAATTTGCTGTTCTTACTCAACACTCTATACACAGGAACATTTGCAGTATAAACCCTGTAAATATTCTGAAAGAGAGTTTAAACTTTTTTTTGTAAGGATGTAACTTTAAGTTACTGAAAACAGGATGATCAAAGAAGAGAGCACCTGAAATTGAATCAAAACACTTTTGATTCAATGGCTGACTTCTGGTACCAGTTTACTGTTCAGGCTTCTGGGAAATGTATCACCTTCTCTCTGTCCTGCTATTTCCCTTTATTCATGTAAATTATCATTCCTTTAATATCCTTTATTCTGTGACCGAATTGTTGGGACTCTGAAACTACCAGGTACCAAAGAACTAAAGATGACAGAAATGCAGAGGAAGCAAGTGAGATCTTGTATCAGTCCTCACTGCAAAGAAATTAAGGCAGATAGTTAACAGCTGGGAATCAAGAGGTGCTATTTCCAGAGACTGGCACTAAAATCTTCCATAGGCATGGCAGAAATCTATATCAGGGGAGACTGAAAAAATTAGGGAATCTAGACACAAATCTAATTAAACATATACTTAGAGAGGGAACACAGTAGAGACATAAAATAAGGACTGCTATACATTGTGTAAATTGAGAGCGTTTTATTTCTCTCTCAAAAACCACAAGATAGCAAGTAAACCAGATGAAAATAGTATCCATCAAATTCAATTGTTTTCCAGATGCCAGCAATTTGGAAATTCTAGATTGATATCATATAAAACACAGCAGGAAATTATTTCCTTTCAGTCAGCAGCAGTAATGTCCCAGGTTGAATATGTGCCAGTTTCAGCACCCGCATTTAAGAAATACACAGATCAAATAGACAGAAATGACGTAGATCTTCTCTATGGAAAAAAATCAGGTTGAGCTTCAGTAAAATACTTTCCGAATATTAGAACAGTGGAACAAGATAACTATGAAGCTTGTAAATATTACTTCAGTGGAAGCTTTTAAGAACAGGTTAGCCAAATATCTATTAGCGTGGCATAGATTTTTTTTTCTATCTCACAACAAACCAGGCAAAACTGTTTATATGCTTTCTAGAAGCACTCTCCAGACTTCTGTTTCCACGACTCTATATACCAAAATGATAAAGTATCATATCACCAATTAAAGAAAATTAATCTGCTCCAACGATACAGCTTTTTTTTTTTTACAGAGATTTGATCCAGAATAGTTTAGATAAAATCCTAAACAATGGAAATGATGTAGCCATCCTGATTTTTTTTTTTATCTTCTACTACAAGAATATACTTTTAAATTTACCTGTTTTGTTAACAACATCCTGTAATTCGGTGACAGAACTGATTATTGCAGCAAGGAGGTTAGAACTAGTAAACCAGCTGAGTGCTTCAACACAGGGAATTTGTTCCTCTTCACGACCTGTGAAACAGAATTGTAGCTAGGAGTAAAGCTGATTAACTTAGGGAAGGCACACTACTATTTCCAGCTCTCTCAGAAATTGACCAAGACTAAGTATGTAAGTCACAAACTAATTCTTCTTTCAGGACAATTTAGACTGTATTAAATATGCTTCCAGAACTACTAAAACAGAGAAGTAGGTGGATCTTCTAGTTTGGGAAACATTTTTGATAGCACGAGGAAGCATGAGCTGGTCTGGTAACAGAAAGGGACAGAAGACTATATTTAGAAATTTAGAAATCCTATGCTAATATTTTACCTGAATCAGAAAGCAATTTTTTGCATTTTTAGTAGGAAATAAATATTAAAAGTGATTAATAAAAGAAGAGGAAATATCTTTTCAAAAAATATGTTGATGGTCAATCATTTAGGAACATTACAAGATATTTACCACAGAGAAAATGCAGTAGCACCTAGTTCTGAAATCCATAACGCAAATGTCAAGGATATAAACAGTATGAGTTCACACGCGTAGTTGTAACTTTTCTTTCAATGCTTAACAGACTAAGCATTTCCTTTTAGGGGAAATTACATTTGTCAAGAAATCCAGAAATCACAAATCCAGAAATTCAATTTGTCAAAATGTCACTAGATTTGTCTTTACACTTTATTATTAATAACATCACTATTTGTTATTCACTAACCATGTAATTTGACATAACGCTTATCAAAGAAGAAAACAATTAGCTTACTTGACAGATCATGCTTGCTTTTGGAGTCTCCTATACAAACTAGAATTCCAATGCCTTCTTTGAAGCCATTTACCCAGGAGAAGAGGGAACTAGAAGACTGGGCTAAAACTTTAAGTCTGTTAGCTGCCAAAACTGCAATCACACCTCTTCGGAATACACGGATCAGGCCTTTGAATTTTCTTTTCTTCAGTTTTGCTTCATCTTGATTGTTTTCCTCTACATCACAGAGAGCATGAACTAGGGTCCTAATCTCCTGGTTCACTAATTCATAAATGTTGACCTGATCCTGCAGAAGGTCTCTTTGGGAAGACATAGCACATGATCGGCCATAGAGAGGATACAGGGCACCTGCCAATAGCGCACAGGCTGCCAGGAGAGATGAATGCTCCTTCTGAACCTGCGTTAACATATTTTTCACAGAAACATTTTCAAGGGCCAATTTCTCCCATCTTTGTTCAAGGACATAGATTTCTTCCTTGTTTTTCTCTGCTGTTTCTTGGTATTCCTAGGATAAGGGGAAAAACCAAAGAAAAACAGAAGAAATATTAACAAGAAGATTTTTTTTTAAATAACAAAATCATTTTTACCTAGACAAAAGCTAAAAGAAATTTTTTTTTTTTCAGATTCAAATAACACATTAAAGGAACAAAAATTATTAGTAATGACTGTCAAAGTATCTCTCCTAGCAAACAGTTACAGAACCAGAGATATGAAAATAAATCAATGGTATGAGGAAAATTTGCACAATCTTCCACTACAGATGGACTCTTCTGATGATAATCCAGTAGTACTGCAATAGCCCACAGAAGATCCAACAGTACCTGGTTGTCCACATTACAGTTTTATAGACTGGTTTAACAATAAGCAATTACATGCTCCAATTTCAGAAAGAACATTGCTCTTCAAAGCTGAAGAGAAAGTTAGTGTAAGAGAGAGAAAAAAAAGAAGGAAAACTCTGGAAGATAAACCTAGACAGATTGGCAGCAGCTGGGAAAGGGGAAGTAAAGGTGATCTCTTAATTACTTTGTAATCAACCCCCTACTTATATATTCACAGATTAATTAGGTCTCTTACAGAATTGAGTTTTCAAAAGAACAGTGTAATACAGATATTTTTGTTTTGACTAGTGCCGTAACAGATTTTTTTCAACTTGCATAACATTTTTTCTTTTCCTGTATATGCCCTGAAATAGG